GATTATACGCGAGAATTTTTGCATCCAACACTGCAATTATCCCTTGCAAAACAACTTTCTTTACGGTATTTTCATATGATAGTTCGTTACCTTATCTGCACTTTGCATCACAACCACGTGTATATTTTTATATACGCGTTTTTTTCTCCTAATAATAAAAAATCGGATATCTCGTAATACATAATAAGTACATTCCAAAGACGTGTTTACGATACAGAAGAAATAGTATTTTTTCGTGAAACCTATATATACACTTTATATGGTATATATGAAATACATATAATATATATATTAAAAATGATAGAAAAAATATAATTTCTATTCATTTACTTTCTATTCATATTAAAATAACATAAATAATAAAATATATAAAAATATATATGACACTTGGCTTTTTATGCATAATCGCGAAATTTCAAAAGACAAGGAGCACAAATAAGGCTCAGAAAAAAATTACAAGAATAAAAAGGTGCTTGAAAAATGACGAATTCGGTTAATTGGCTTCGTTATTGGGAGAGATGCAAATATTCGACGTATATTTAAATCGTCGCCACCGACCGGTCGTCTTTTCTCGATCATATCTCGTATACACACCTTTCTCTCTCATTCTCTCTTTCCTCCCGCACCTTCGCCCCTTCCCTCTCGCACTCTCACTCTTTCTCTCTCTCTCTCTCTTTCTCGCCGTCTCTCTTTCGGTCTCCCGACATTTCCGATATATCTCGCGCGCGGATTAATTCCAGACGAGGACGAGCAAGAGCCGTAGTGAACCGAGAGCTATCTTTAGTCCGCCTTGCGAGCAAAAGAGAGTCGTACGGTCTCTCTCACTTCGGTCGGAATAAGACAGCGAATTTCTCGATTTCTCGACGAGGCCGGGATCCTCTTTTTCAAAACGTGAATGGCCAGCCTCCCCACGAGAGTCGATAATCGAGAAAAAAAATGTAACACTCGAGAAATATATAGATATATATGTGTGCGACTCCGGATCTCTCGATATTAATAGATTCTTATAGCGGCCGTAAGGCAAAACTGTCGTCATCAATTTCTGGTTTCGACACATGCAGTTGCACACAATAACACACACATTTCTGTAATTGCCCGATATTATCCGGAATACAAATGCTTCTAGAAAATTTCAAACGCATTTAAGTGTCTGAGATATAGGTCGATATTGAAATTAAAGTACAATCATTAAGAATAAATATGTCTTCATTCAGCTAATCTTATCTCGATGCAAGGAGATTATAAAAATCACTTGCATAGCTGATTCTTAATTTTTTTCCCAATATAACTTTTAGGATTATTACAATTAATATCATATACAATTAATATCCTCGATATAATGAATATAAAATTGAAGACCGAATGAGAAACGAGAAGAATGTTGTTTACTACAGAAAAATGTCTCCTCTCTCTCCCAAGCTATAAACGCAAGTAATACTATTGATTTATAATATCCTCCGCATCCCTCTTCGTCTTCGGTTGATAAAAACAGAGAAAGAAAAAGAGAAAGGAAAACGAATGCTTCCAAATAACCCAGCATTCAATAAGCGTGACAAACCGATTTAGCAGCTGACAAGGAAAAAAAATAAACCATTTTTTTGCATCTCGCGTTCGTATCGCAGCTTCGTAAATATTTTGAAGCCGGCGTCGCCATAATAACCACGCTAAATTCCACGTAATTTTGCCAGATCCGGATGGTTAATTTACACGCCGTGCCGTCGAATTAATAAACTAGCCGACTCGAATTCGAAGTCAAGCTCGCGAAGACGCGTTTGATGACTCACCGACATCACGACAAACATTTAATCCCGCAACGTCTAGCCCTGGGGAAAAGAAACGTTTTCCGCTACGTCATCTCGAATATCAACTGAAAAATTTCCGAGTCAAAATATAGAGCTTAATAGTGAATTAGCGTTAATTGCGTTTCATTTTTTCCTATCCTATTCTCTCTTCTCTTTCCAAATTTTTTTTATTTATTTGCATCCTTAATCTCAGATTATTGGATGAATACGAAAATTTTAATTTAATTTCTCGTCCGGAAATTCCAATATAAAGAATATTTAAAGGTTTTTTCATTATAATTAGTTTCTCACATTGCGACCGATAATTTAGCTTACTGTTAGATGAATGTCTTCCTTGAGGTTTCCCTAATTTATTTTTTTGAAAAAGATACGAAGGCACGCAGTTTGAATCGAGGTTAACCGACGTTAGAGAAACCGGCCCTAGGGGATTCTTTCGCACGAAAGGGCCGGTACGCATCTGGCACTTGCACCTGCATTACACCGGTCATTAATTCTTATTACCATTAAACAATAATGTTAAATGCACGATGGATTATTCTACTTAGAGATGTACAAAAATGTTCAATCTTTCCACGCTTCCCTCATTTTCTCCAAAATGGGAGGCCAATCAATAATAATAATTATCAGATTGTCTACAATGAGTCTCTCTTCATCCTTGATTCTCACAAATATCTAAAGTAATAAAATCTACCTAAAATATCTTGAAATATTGATTACTTTAGATACATAAGATATGAAAGTTTTCTATTTCAATTTACGAGTTTTGCGTCTCAAACGGAGACTATAAATTACCTAGAATATACATGTATAATACACTGTAAAAAAATATGTAATATATTACACAAAAATATGTAAAATTACATAAATAATAAGTGTAAAATTACACGATAAATAATAGAAATGATTACCTTTTCATTATTTATCATGTAATTTTACATTTATTATTTATGTAATTTTACATATTTTTAATGTAATTTTACAAAATTTTTTTACAGTGTAGAGAGGGAAAATGAAAAATAAAAGAGCCGGGAGCAGGTTGAAACAAGCCGCAGAGATGCTCGCGAATCCTGAATGCTAAAGGCGCACGAGAGCGTAAAATAACTCACGTAAATCAGTCCGGAGTAGTATCGGTCCTTGAGGTTATGCAGGACGGAGGCCTCGTTGAGACAGGTAAGCTCCGCCATGTCCTCGACCTTGTCGAACTTGGGCGGATTCATCTTCTGTATGTCGTCCTTCGCGACGAGCACGCGCTTGCCGGTCTCCGCGATCTCCACCTCGACCTCGTCGCCGCGCTCGCCCTTGATGCCGGCGGCGACGAAGCCCTGGGTCTCGTGCGGCACCCACACCAGCTTCTTCTGCGTCCATTCCGCCTGGGTGGCCGGGTCGTTGAAGTTGTTCCTGTCCACCGACAGGAAACGCAGCTCCGGATCGGACCGGTCTACCCTCGAGTCCACGTCCGCCATCTTTGTTTAGCGAGCGCGCACAAGACGCGGCAAGGCTGTCTCCTTGTTCTCTCTTTCTCTACCTCCTCGTCTCTCGGCCACTGCTATTCACCGATACTCGCGTCCTCGGGGATCAGCGTGACTCGCATACGCGGACACGGTCGACTCGGGGGGCCAGGATTCTAACCGAGTCGAAACGACGATGACGGCGGCTGCCGTTACTTGCTAGCTGTCGCCACGATGCGCAACCGACAACGAGTGTGCGGCGACGGCGGCACCGCACCGAATACCACCCCACCACTGCTGCCACACTACCGCACTACTACCACTACCACTACTACCACCACTACTACCACCACCACCGCTACCACCACCGCGACGTTAACGGACGGGACTCGCCCTCCTCGAGCGAGCGTCTCGAGCCTCTTCCGAGAAGATCGGTATCGCGCCGGCGATATGCGAGAGACGATCGCGCATGTACGAGAATTTCGCGGCCGAAATACGTAGTACGCGCGGAATCACGAGGGAAGGGCAAAGCTTCGATCGCCCGCTTTCTCGCCTTCTCTCGTTCCTTCCTTTTTAACGCACGGCTCGAACGCGCCGATCACAACTCGCAACTGTCGCCGACCGTCATCGAGCACCTGCGAAAGATTCTCCGATTCTCCCTTCCCTCTACGCGACTGTCACTGTCCCGCTCGCACGCGCAGCTGATCCGCGCGGTTCCTCTCGCTCGCCTCGACTGTCGCCGGATACTAGGGACATGCGAGTCGAGTCGAGTCGAGCGCCACTCGAGATATATCGACGTTCGACCTATCGATATATCTCGAGGTTCGACTTATCGATATGGTTAGAGAAACTCGATTATTTGAAATCCTTTTTTCTTCGACGTCAATATTTTGATATTATTTTCGAAATTCATTTAGGCTACTGAAAATAAAAATACGTAAACAAATTTTGATTGTTAAGGAAGGATAAATTGGCTATTGCAATTGGTCGATTTGCTTACAAAGTTTCACGTCTTTCGTTTCCGGCATTTCTGAATCGAACACATCATCTCTACATATGTACGTGCTTTATGATGTTTAGTTCGTTGCATCTGAGTTTATCATCTCGAAGTATTTGCTGTGTGTGATAGATTTTTTAATATATATATATAAAGATTATATAATATTATCTTATCTAAAAATATGTAGTTTTTTTATCAATAATCATGCGTGATTCTCTCACGAATGTTTCATCTATAGCATTTTGTTTCATACAGTTTATGTTATCTTTTCAACATTTTCAGTGATCATAATATACACGCTTTTTTATATCAAGAATAACAATATAACAAAGAGATAACTTATCATATTTGTTTTAATTATCTGGAATAATTGATAATAATATCCAGTGATGTATTAATAACCTGAAATACACCTTAAATCTTCCAAAATATATTGTATCATATATATGAATTATAATTTCATATAACGAATAAAAAATTATATTTTCCAAGACATCTATTAATAGAATCAATGTAAAAAATATTAATGTGCGTATCTTTTATTTTTTTGTTATTTTCTCAAAAATTTGCAAAGAAAATTTCTGTATTTTACAGTATCTACAGTTAATATAACTTTATGCACGTTGCATTTGATAATTTTCTTGTTATCTTCCATCAATATTTAAAAAGTGTTATATAACGCGCAAACAATTTTATTTGAATTTTTTTTCCATCTTTGCGATAAACACTTCGTCATATATATATTTTTGTCCGTATGAAGCTGCGGGATTATATAAACTGTTTTCAAACCAATCACTGTCAGTCAGTCAAGTAAGCTTGAAGCTTGAAGTACATTGTACGTATAAATATATATATATATATCAGCGACATGTCCTACGGTGCAGTAAATAAGAGCATTTATAATTATGCAAAGGAAAAAAATGTAAGTAAAAGATTTGATAATCAAGATTTTTGTAAAGTTTGATATTAATCTTATTTTATATAAATTTTCTGTCTCAAATATTTCAATGCATGTGTTGTCTCATAATTTAATATTTTCAAATAATGCAAAATTATACTAAAAATATTTATACCCCGAACTGCCTTCTAAGAATATATTATTGGATATTATTACGTAATATAATAAAATTTTTCTACTTAATTAGTTCATTATTTCACGATGTTTAATTCAATCGTCATCAATCATAATAAAATCAAACACAACAGTGTTAATAATTATTATTGTATCTCCTATAATCTAATATCATAGGCGTAAAGCGCACGCAATTAATAAATTAACTTGCCATCTTCATTTTGTTTTTAATGTTTTACTAATAGAAGTGAAAATATATAATAAAAATATTATGTAGTTCCTTCCTTTTCTAAAAAATTCTCTACGGACAGAGAAGCAGTTAAATTTCAATGAAATTTAAGTATCATTTTGTGAGAACCTCTTAAATGAATTAATATGATAACACTAGGCTATTATCGTTGATTTACGGAGCGACACGCTCACGAAGCCAACCGCGGCAATGAGGAGGGCTATGTTTGAAGCGGAAGTGGGGGATGACGTTTTCGAAGAAGATCCTACGGTAATAGGTAATAAAAAATGCATATTGCTTGAAACATGACATAAAAAAACTATACACGGTCCGATTCAAATTTTTTCAGAGATATCTGTATTCTTCGAAATAATTATAAAAAAGTTAATAAATTATTATATTTTAATAATTATCAAAATCATTCTTCTCTCTGTTCAGTGAACGAATGTAATTTTAAGTGCATATTGAATTTAAAGCGCGAGATTTTAACAATATATAATTCATTAATTGAATATTTATATAATTTTCTAGAATTACAGAAAAAAGCAGCATCATTGCTGGGAAAAGAAGATGCACTCTTTGTTAGTTCTGGTACAATGGGAAATTTGATTGCTGGTAAGAACCGATAAAAGACTTTTGTACATCTCTTCACGCTTTTCTTATAAATCAATGTTTAAAGATTAATAAAAATTATTTTATATATTTAATATTAAGTATATAATAGTTTAATATATCAAGAGAAGCACAAATTAGAGAAACATTTTGTTTTACAAATCGATAATGATTTGCCCTAAAAAAATTAAATACTTAATTTCTACTCATATTGGTCTCTCATTAAAATTATATGTATATGAGTTAATTGAAATCTTAACTTTTTAAATGAATCTTGCATTCCCATCATTTTCATGTATTTTTTCTCCTTTTTTTCAAGCATTTCATTTAAAGAAAAATATACTCACCTCTTCTCTTCTTTCAGTTATAAATCATTGCAATGTACGCGGTAGCGAAGCTTACTGCGGAAACGAATCGCACGTGTTTCTTCATGAACAGGGTGCTGCGGCGCAAATAGCCGGTGTAAGCCTTTCTACGCTGCAGAACAACGACGACGGTACGTTCGATGTGAAGAAACTCGAGAGCATGATCCGCACGGATCGCATACACGAACCGATCTCGAAGTTGGTCCTCGTCGAGAACACGATCAATGGTAAAATTATACCCCAATCGTGGGTCGAGGAACTGATGGTAGTGGTAAAGAAGCATGATCTCAGGACGCATTTGGATGGAGCGCGACTGTGGAATGCCTCGGTCGCGTCGGGAATCTCGGCGAAGGAACTAGCCGCTCCGTTCGACTCTGTTACCTTTTGCCTGAGTAAAGGATTAGGTGCTCCTGTGGGATCCGTACTTTGTGGTAGCAGGAGTTTCATCGCTGATGCGAGGAGGAGGCGGAAGGTGCTGGGTGGCGCGATGAGACAGGTCGGCGTAATCGCCGCAGCCGGGCTCGTCGCTCTGGAAGAAACGGTACCGAGATTAGTAGAGGATCACAGAAGAGCATTAGCGGTCGCACAGGCAATCAATCAATTGAATTCTAAAATATTTAGCGTAAACATGAAAACCATGCACACTAATATGATATTTATAAATGTAAATTTTGAGAGAGGTGTATCCGCCGTGACTTTCATGGAAAGACTTCATCAAGTTAAGGATTTCGATGAAGATGACAGGATCATAGTTAGATGCATGGCTTTAACGAAAACTTTGGTCAGAGTGGTACTTCATTATGACATCGATGATTCGATGATGGATGCTGCCATACGTAAAATAAGATATGTCATCAAGCAATTGGATCCTCAAGTAGAGATTTGAATTTCTTCACAATGTCTTCCTTAAAAAATGCCAATAAATACTCTAAACATGTGTAATAATTAATAAATAAAAGTATGTATATATTTAAATATGCATAAATATTTGAATAATAAACTATTTGTGCATCATAATCTAATGACTATAAAAATTAATGAAAATACATGAAAAAATAGATAACTTCGTTTAATTTTATAAAAACCTATGCTATTTAAAGACTTATGTTACTTAAATATTTTGATTATTGCCAAATAGAAATAATTATATTTCAATAATATTATTCCAAATTTTTTATCAAATTTCTTTCAATAAAAGTTTGTCATTACGTCATTAGAATTATATATTTTTTCTGGCATCAGTAGCACGCACATTTTTTAAAAAAATTCGACAAATGCAAAATTAATACAAAATTTTCTTTAAGAATTTTAAAGCCTTTTTGTATAGCAGTATTACATATATAAACTTACATGTCGAATAAATATCAATCAATTGAATTTTTAAATATACATTCCTGAAAATTCTATGAATTCTCTTGATGTATATCTGTTGAACAAATATCCTGCATTAAGAAGTTTTCTGTTAATTAATTAGAATTTGAATAATAAAGCAAGCTCCGCAACATCAAACATATATATTAGTATATGTTTAAATTTCATTTATTTTCTTTGTAAGAATACTCTTCCCGTGTCTTTACAAAGATTCAGATAAAATCGTCGATCAATCGCACGATTATCAATTAACGATGAGTGTGTAATTAGCGTTGTTGCTGTTAACTCTGAAACGCGTCATTAACAGGCTCATCGTCGTCCTCATCCTCTTCACCCTCGCTCTCGAAAGTATTATCAGGAATATCGTATAAACGAATCATAGGCTTATTCGGATCCTTCATTATCAAATACTTGCCGTCCTTCTGCTTCATGCAAATATCAATGATACATCTCAAGATACCCCACGCGTTGTCCATGTTAAGATTGATCTGCGTCGCAAACTCGTTCGGTTTGTACTGCTGCGTGCCGAGAATCACATGCTTGCTAGAATCTCGTACAATAGCACGTGAGACGTATCCGAATTTCAGTTGATCTGAGCCAGCGAGCAACGCCTGAACCGTCCACTTGGCGAGTTTGCAGGCGTTATTACGTAATTCGTTAGCCAAAACTGCGCCACGTTGCGTGTCCAGCTTCTGACGCCACTCGACTCCATTAGCCAGCTTCGAGTCCCACTCGTTCAACGCCTTGATAGTGAGAAATTGATTCTCGTTGTTTGGGCCTTGCATCACGGCATCGTGCTCGCATCGAGCGACGAGTACGATGCCGTTATTGAGGTCCCATTTGCGATAACGATAAGCCACGCTGGCCACATCGCTCTCCTCTTCCTCCGAGATAAAGGGGTTGCCCTCCTCGAACTTGTAGCGCGGCTCGTTCGACTTGAGCACTTGCTGTGAGAAATTGTGATTGATGAAAGTCGCCTCGAGGGCGAGGTTTCTCGGTGAGTTCAGCGAGTTACCGTCATCCTGCGGCGGCTCGACACTCGTCTCGTTCACGGTCAACAGGTCAAACTCGGTGTTGTCGCGCTTGTCGAAGAACAGTTTGTCGCCGATCTTCTCGATGACGATGTCCCACGAATAGTTGCTGCGCGTGCAACACATGATGGTGGCCAAGATCGCGTCGGTGGCATAAACGTTGCCCTCGGTCTTCGACAGCTTACGGACAATCGGATCGTCGGTGGTCGTCACCGTGTGGAAGATACGATCGATTCTCTGCAGCGGCTTCTCGCTCTTGACATTCACGCGGTCATACGTCTTGTCATAATACTCGAGCGAGCCGCAGCATAGTATATCCTCGCCATCTTTCACGCCCGGCAACGAGAGTTTAGCCAATCGCGGGAAGTCCATCTCCTCGATGGTGAGCCAGTCAGGTCGTACCGTTACGGAAGCATCTCGAATCTTAATGGGCGGTTGATTCTTGTGATTACGCAGACCTTGTTGTCTACCCCAGCGCTTTGCTTGTCCCTTACGCTCTCGTTCTCGCAACTTGAGCTTCCCTAGCTGCTGCATTTGACTCAACCCACCGCGTTGTCCGCCACGACCGCGTAAGTTGCGTTGATTGTGACGGAAACGGCCACGTTGATACGGCGGTTTCTGTACGCGGGTTGTGTCCACCAGGTGGAAAGTGGTCTCGTCTTCATCGTGATAATAAGCATACTGACTGCCAGAACCAAATTGTGATGTATATTTGTCTGGAAAGATGTCATTTATACATACGTGCAATCATAATACATCATCATATATTAATTCTTTGTATGGTATAAAGCAATACTTTGATTGTTACATACAACTTTTGTGAATAAACCATATTAAATTACATTATATTAAGTCGCTATACATTTTGCTCAAGAAAAGATCATTACATATTCTTTTATCATTTTTCAATGCAATAGAATACCAATAAAATAGAAAATTACAAAAATACTTATCTTCAAGTAAAACAAAAATGGACTCAGTGCAGCCATTAAAAATGTATGACTACTGCGACAACATATTCTATTGATATCTTGAATATAATTTAAAAGATTAAATTATAATATTCTAATACATTTATCAAATTGTTACACTATACATCACTATCCAATCATATACATATCTCACATACTTTATAAAATTCAATATTTAACTAAGACGTAAAAAAATTGTAACAATTTAGAATCTGACATACATCAAGTATGTACATCAAGTATGATGCACATCTGTCAAACCTTTCGAAAACCAGAATTCACAATCTTGTTCAAATTTAATCACACAAGAACTTTTGATCGTCAATCAAATACAACATATGCAATGCAAAAATGCCAATAAAACTGCTTCCCAAATCCTTGAGAGCGCCAGATCTTTAAGGTTAAACCGAGTCAGAGTGACGCGATACGTACTTGGAAACTTTTTATCCTGGAAGGCCGGTGTCGTCCAGTCGGAGATCTACGACAACGGGAGTATAATGATATATTAACATTTTACACTGAAAGAGAGAAAGACGTAAACACGCCTCGAAAACATGCTTACCTTGCCCAACCTGTCGCCTTTCGAAAATGGCTGGTAAGGAATGTCCTTAAATTGATCCGGCAGCTCGCACGGGCCCCAGCCGTCCGGATTGTGCTGGATAGCCGGCGCCAGGAAGTGCGCCACCTCCTCCTTCGGGACGACGGGATCGTCCAACACCACTACGTCCACTTCCGTCATACCGATATTCGATGGAATTTGTCGCGCATCGACTCAATTCTCCTCAGTCACCCAACACGATATTCCGTATCGACAAATCTTCCGCTACCGGAAATCCTGTCAGCGACATCTTGCCGGACCGACACACACACACACAGTGCTGCCAATTCTTCCTTTAAAAAGATCCCAGCAAATATCGAGATTTTTATTGGACAATTCGCTCGCGAATTGACCAGTCAGCTGATCAGCTGACTAGTTGTTCTGCTAATAGGGCCTTTACGTTTTCTAGTTTCCTTTGCAATAATTTTGCAGTCGAATAGAAAATTCGGAGAATTGTAGGTGCTAAAAAAAAGTAATTATTTATTGACACATACTGTTGATATATATACAGTATGAAATTTTTATATTATATTATTGCATAATATTGATTTATTTGCGAGTTTATTGGTTTGTATTTAATTGATGTATTTAAATGAAATCCATTCTAAATGAATCTAACCTTAACAAATGTCATTGCATTTATTACGTAAGATTCAATAAACGATTGATTTTTTTATCAGTATTTTAATTAAATTCGGTTTATAGTAGAATACACGATTTAAAAACGCTTTTCTTGATATACATGAAACATTATTTCAATAATTTGTACTTGTGTAAGGAACAAAAATTACTTGTTGACAATTGAAAAAAAATATCTATATATAAATTCTATATTAAAAAGAATCGTGATTTTTTTTTTTTTTAGGCAACCATGCTGAGATCACGACTTGTTAGTTTGCCAAAAACTGTAAAACGTAGTATTAGTACTAATATTCCTGCGCTGCAAAAGCAAGTGATCCTATACAACAACTCTTCCTTGACAAACTCAGAGAGTACAAGTCGAAAAGCGGGTAAGTACATTCTTTAAATTATAACTATTATATAACTTTAAACTTATAACTATTATATATGGTAATTTTTTCAATAAAATTAAAAATTAAATATATAAGAAACATTTTGTACAGCTAAAAATTAATAAATTAGACATATTAATTCAAATAATATAAATGAAGCTTTTTTTGTATATTACCTATTGTTACATATTACATTATATCTATTGGAAAGAATTGATTAAAATAAAAAATTATACATATGTTTCATATCGTAAAAAAATCTTTTTAATTTAAGAAATGGAAAATTAGTTGATCCCAGTCCAGAAATAGTAAATGAACGAAAGTCTGAACTAGATAAACTGAATTTACAATACGGTGGTGATAAAGGAGTGGACATGACACAATTTCCTCAGTTCAAATTTGATGGTATGCAATTTTGACTCATAGTTTAAGTTTATCAAACAGATATCTGTTACTTTTATATTCAAGAATTACTACAAAAATTGTATTTTTATGTAACTATTATAAAAACATATTTACATATAGTTAAAATGATGTAAAAATGATGCATTACACTTTGTGTTTTAGAGCCAGCTGTGGATACTGGGCTTGATAAAAAGTAAAAATATATTAATATGTATTATAGAACATTCATGTACTGATGGGCAAACCATTAAATATTAAATAATTTATCGTTAAAAATAAACACTACTATAGTTGAATTATTCTTTTTTTTTACCTGAATAATCCACAACAAATAAAAAATTAATTTAGTCGTGTAAAAACATAAAAACTTGTATTTTTTATTTTATTTTTTTACCCAGTAAATAATTTTGTGTTATCTACTATCTCTGCTAAAATATTCATTTTACATTTGCTGGCTACAGATTTGCATATATTTACAAGCATTTTAACTTCATCACGTGGAATTAAATTATCGTATTCACCTGAACAAGAGCACAGCATGTTCATATTTTCTCTCTTGATTTCCTTACATTTTCGACATTGTAGATCTTGCAATACGTAACCCATACTTTTACGGTTTAATTTATCAATTAGTAAAAATTCGATTTCTGTATTATCGTAAGAAGTATCACAGATAGGACATTTCCACATGTGTCTGTAATAATAATTCAAAGTTATCTTCATCTTAATAATTATATCATTTATATTATCTGACATACCTATTATTTTCAGTTGTAAAATGTTCATCTCTACAAAGATCAATATCTCTCGTATGATTACATGCTTTGCATATAATTTCTGGTAGAATAAGAGAAATACATGGTTCTTTCCATTCAACATTATCGCTGTAACTGCCGACTCCGATCAATCGTAATAGATTAGCCCTCAAGTTATAAACTTCGTGTTCCATTTCTTTGTCCAAAGATAAAACCTGAAATAGATAAAGAGTTTTAGTTTTTTGAATAATTATTAATTATCTTAATTGATCGAAAAAGTTTAATAACTATATTTACCTTGCATACTGCTTTGATTAATTCGAGGGCAGGATTAATCTTTATACTTTCTTTTCCATTCATGTCCAGATTAGGATATTCTTTGAAAGTTAAACTTTTCTCAGGCAAATTACGATGTATCTTTTGCGTTATTCTGAAAATAGTAAATTAAAATAATTAAAACTTTTAGTCTACTTTCAATTTTATGAGAAATATTGTGTAAAATATATAAATATACATACTTGAATAATCTTTGAGATATTTCGCCTGATATCAATTTTTTCGCGAATTCGGCTGTATTTTCCAATGCACCTAAACCAAGTGGTGTTATAAAGGACTGACTTTGACTGAATCTTCTTCTAGGTCTTCCAGTATTATTGCTTTCATTTTCAATCATATATCGATATATCATGTTTATATATCCTGCTATTACAGCATTGAAACTTGCTTGACAGCCTGATTCCTTAGGCAAGCATTCCACTAAGCTCCAACTCATGGCTATTTCAGGCTAATAAACAATAATTCAATTACAAATTAATAGTTTGATAATAGAATTTCACTATAAAATAAAAAATATATAAAGGTGTAATTTATAAAGATATTTACCATATCATCATTATCATTTTCAGAACTCTCATTGTCTCTCGAATCATCTTTTGATAGTTGTCCTTTAATACCAGCATGATTGTGCTATTTAATTAATTAGATATGCTTTATTATTATGAATTACGATAAGTAATTAATATGGTTGAAAAAAATAGACAGAAACGTAATTTAAATAAATTTTAAAATAATATTAATATTAATTTTATGCAAGTAGCAGCATACCAAGTCAAGCCATATCAGATATTCCCAGCATTGATCGTATGTAATTTCTATACCATGGAATAACTCCTTGTTTCTTATGGTTTGAACAACAAATTCCATATAGCCTAAAGCATCGGCCACGGATCTCTTCTTCGTGCACACGATAATTTTGTTAAAGTTTGCAAATACTATAATACATCCCAATGTCTTGAATTGTGCTATTAATTGTATGTATAATTTTTTCATATAGGTGTGTAAAGTACGCCGTAAAGCAGGATCATAAAGTAAAGCACTTGAAGATCTTAGCCATCTGAAATCGCATAAATGTGTTTATATATATTATACAGAAAATAGTTACACACATAATTAATAAAATATCAAATAGCGCAAACGTACCGATAAAAGTGAATCAGCTGATAGTCTGCAAATACATTCTTATAAACAGAGACTTCGATCAACCATGCGTTTACCATGCTTCGCAACGTCTTGAACGCCGGATTGCAAAGAGTGATTTCATCGTAACTGGGAATAATCGCAGCAGCATCACCTGTTGCCATATCCTGTGAAATGTCCAAATATAGTTACAACATTGTGAATGAGAGAGAAGAAAGTATTGCATTTCTCGAAAAATTGTATCATTATTTAATTGAAAAACATAACGAGTTGTCGCTAACCTGAACGGACGGACGTTGCTGATTGTGGAACGCCACAAACGTACTGGTTCCGTCTATGTCATGAATATGATGGTACTGCAGCAACGCGTTGACCGCCAGACTTTCCACATCCAGTTGGACGCAAACGCTGGAGTAGGTGCCCGGATTGTTCGCGGCGCAACTCGAGCTTTCCTCGAAATCCGTCAGTAATCTGTTGTCGTCGTTCTCGCTGCCGCCTAAATCAGGTTTCTCTGTGGGTGAGCACCATAAGACAAAATTGTTTCTGTGCAAATGTCTGGCGTAGAATAGATCCGCGCCGAAAAGAGTAGGATCCGCGGATATGTTGCCGATAGGTGCGTGAAAGAAACGACATTGTTCCGCCATTAATTCAACGATCTGCTGGCTCTTCAAGTAATGCCTGACCATCATCTTCGCGCCTATCTTCTGCCATTCTAAAGTACCGTAAAGATTCTCTACGTCACGCACGTGCGTGCTGACGAGAGGAAAGTCATTGAGCAGCGGCATCTCGGTAGTTAACGTCGTTCTGTCGAGGGCGGTTTGACTGATGATGATCGTCGCGCCGTGACCTTCGTTTTTATACGTCGTCAGAGCCGCTTGCAATGTACGGCACACTTGTTGAAAGTTTGTCTCAACCTGGATCACGAATTGCATAGTTTTAGGGAGTCTGTTTACGTTGGCCTCGCCAATCTTTTCCAACGTTGCTTTGCGTTCCTGCGTGTACAATGTATTCATGTTCGGTAGCTGATTAGGAGCAGCAACCGAATCTAAGACGAATATGTGACCTCGCTTGCTGGCGCTTAAAAACAAACCCCACAATGCTCTCTGATGGTTCGAGCTCCAATGATGATACAGAAATACATAGTTAATTAATTCGGTTTGCTTGAGGTAAGGCTGCAAAGCGATGCTCTTGAATTCTAAATGATCCAGTGTGAAAGTGTCGGCTCCGTCTGCCATTTTACGGGCGGCACGTGGATCGACCATGCACACGCATCCCAACTGCAATATAGCCCGAAACTCTAACGACATTTGTGTCTCGTAAATCCCTTCAATTTCTGGTTTACTCAAGTCCTCCAGGAGCTCCCGACTGTGCTCCTGAAACAGAGATTCCGGCAGGGAATATCGATACAAGTTGTACACCGGACGAGAACGTGGCAACGATTTGAAGCTCTTCTTCCAGAGTTCGTTTGGTCCTGGATCCGGTCTTGCTTTGCGGGTGTTTACGTAAAATACGCGGGGTACCACAAGACGCACTTGATGCAGTTGCTTGTCGACCAGTATCCACAATCGAAACATGCCAGGTTCGCCTGTCTCCGATAACTGAATGATTTGCCAAGGAGTTTCCAACAATTTTCTTTGAGCGCGTCTTAAGAAGCCGGTCATAGTAGATGTATTCGTATTTCGTATAACTCCCCAGGTGATTCTGTCGTTCTCATCAGTCTTGCTTTTCTTGTGCTGATGCTGATGCCTCTGTTTAGCCTGATAGGCCCATTTTTTCTTGTGGAATTCCAACCATTTGATCCTCTCTTCTTTTGTTTGTCCCCTAGGAGGAGGTGAACCCAAAGCTTCTTTCCAACTTCTGGCCCTGATCACTTCATCCTCCTCTACATGCGGTCGTTTCCTTTATTAACAACCGAGATTGACAAATTTTTGGAGCTAGTTGACGGTCTTGCGAGATCTTCGATATCACGAGGTTCTTCGATACTATCGGCAGTCTGTTGAGAAGTTGCAGGCTTAGCTGCTACAGTAAATATGTCCGTAATCTTTTTCTGACGATGAGACATACTCTTCTCCGATACTTTCTTGTGTAACCAAGGTGGATGTTGAACTCGCGGGACTGGATTAGATAAACCTTGCATTGCCGCTGGTATAGTGATTATTTTTTGAATAGCGCTCCCGAGTCGTTCGATGTAATAATTCCAGTCTAAAATGTCTCTTATATCGTCGCTATACAAAGTGGGATCTTTCAACCATTTTTTCAGATAATGTCTACGAACAGCTGGTTCCGATTGAAAGATAGCCAACGGTATCGCGCGCTCGGTAACCGGTGCGCTTTGCGGTTTATTTGCTATGATATATCGACAAGCTAAACCTGCATCTTTAACCATCTCGTCTCCCAAGAATTCGGCTAGTCTTTTCGCTGTAGAAATTGACGTGGACTTTTGCGCACCGTATTCTTCCAGTTTACGCGACATAGACTTATTCTCGGATATAAGTTCAAATAATTCAGAATCGGGCATATTCGCACATTTACTATAAAGTAAATCGAGCCAATAATCCGCGTCCTTCGCAACCGAGGCGTAACATTCTTCCAAGGTATTACCCTTTAAAAAAGACTCGAAAACGGAAGCTTGAAAAATTTTAATCAGTTGCAATTCGCCTCTCCTCTTCACCTCAAATCCTTTCAGTTCGGCCAACGAACCATCGAAATTAAAAACTGCGTATCGTTTCTTCAATTTTTTTCCTTCTTCCTTGGCAGCGGGCAATACCATGGCTAGATATGGACCATCGACTTCAAAAAATATCGAATTCTCATTTCTGATTTCGTATGTTAAATTATCTTTATCCACAAGGTCGTGGTATACTTCATTGGTAAATTGATCCTGTATAAAAAATCAACACATTAATTAAATTGGAAAAAATATCATAACTTCTATATTCAGTTATACCTACTTTCACCATGAAATTGAGAACTGCATTCGGATAAGAGATTGTCAATTTCGACTTCTTTTCGTGTGTAGTGTGGACTACAATGGAGTCAGGGAAAGATGCAGGTAATATGCACCA